CAGTCCGCGAATCCAAAAAAAAATCTTCCTCACCCACTTACCTGACAAAATCTATTATCTCCGTCTCGTCCAGAGCTCCTTGAACCCCGAGGTTAACGACCACCAATCTCATATAAAAAAAAAATCACCAGATTCCATCGATGTCCCCCACGTGCTTTCAAAACACCATTCTTTCCCCCCAACAAAGCCCCCACGCACTCCACAAAAGAGCGTTTTGAAAGAATAACTCCGTCAAAACCCCTTATCCGAGACTCACGTCAGAAGAATCCAATTCCTTCAAAGACACTTCACTTCACCTCGAGCTCACTCGAACATGTCAATTAATTGCCCCCAAGTCAACCCGAACAGCTTCAAAAACACGAGGAATACCTCAAAGTTGAAAAATAAAAGTTAAATAAAATAAAATTTCCTCAAAGTTTTCCCCGAAATGAAAAATTGATCAATTGATAATTAAATAAACACGAATAGTAAAATGTTGGATGGGTCGTTCCCGTGACTGACGCCGATCGCCGGTTAACTATAGGCAGTAGAGTGCCAGGTGGGAGTGTATATCCGCGCGATGATTTCTTTTTTGGGCCCGACCAACAAGTGAGACACACAAAGATCCACTATGAGACGAGCCTGAAGTGAGACAAACGTCTGGATATTCACCGGACTCGTTCACTCCGGCCCTCGTCGGGCCCCTCTGGCCCCACCGGCCCGCCCCACCGTTTGGCTTTCCCCCACCCGTTGGGCCCACAATTGTTCTCGAGTGCCGGATGCCAGTGGAACGGCCACGGAATACGCGAGAATGGTGGAGAGAAATGAGGAGATCCCGGGGCCCAGTCAACGGGGGAACTTCAACGGTCGGGAAATATCAGGCCCCGATGCTGATTGGCTCTGGTGAATATGAGAACACGAGATCAGTTGGTGTATGGCGCCACCGGCGTCAGAACTCGAGAAAATTCACCTGTGCGCGGAGGAAATTCACGGAAGAGATTTTTGTTGCCGACCCACAGGTGTCCTTGAA